CACACACACACACACACTTTTTACATACAAATGTGCATCAGTGTTGCTCTGAGTCCTCACCTGGTAGTCTGTGCTGAAGTGCTGGTCTTCCTGCACCACCTCCAGTTCTTTGCCTCCCCTCACCAAAACTGTTCTGACTCCTCGGCCTGCCAGGTGGGTGTGCAGCTGGGATGCAAAAATATAGATCCCTCCTGGGGGCAAAGCCTGGAGACACAAGTAGACAAACAGAACATGAGACTTTCCAAGGAGAGTTTCTAAATTTTATGAAAAACGCACACGTTATTGACCAACACTTTTCTTTCAACTGAAAAATTAAGCAGATTTTTAACACATACAGTCTTGGTACACTTAGATGTACAGTAGCCAGTGAGGTAGAATGTGTGTTGTTTTGGAGGGATCGCCATGACTGGAGTGTAAACGAGGCCCAGCTCCATGATTCCTGCATCGTAGCGCCGCAGGCTTGGGGTGTAATACAGCCGAATCCCTGATGAATCCCGTCGGCCTGCATGTGAAACACTCCTGCATCACTGCTCAACATATGGCAACATTACTCCTCACTCCAAAATCTCTAACACAGTAAATACAGAATAATCCTGCACTAACCATGCTAATGAAATGTTTTTTTTTGTTGTTGTTTTTTTATGTGTTTTTCTCTCTACAGGAACTTATTTCTATGGTGCAATCCGAGGACAGAGGATAACAGAATTTATTTTTCCTAGTTACAATGATTATGTGATGATTTCTCTCCATCTGGTCCTGGCCAGTAGTGTGTTTGGACTTTTTTGTAATTTAGACAAGAAAATCTTAAAAGAGCTCGCCAAAGAAAAGCAAAAAAACATGAAAGTGTTGATAGTCTGAAAACAGTAGAGAACATTGAATAATATTATTTCAAGACAAAAAGTTCCTTTTTGTCTTGATGAGTTTAGTTGTGTGAACTATGTTTCAGCTTTTAGTTTCATTTTCGCTGCTTAGTTACCCATTTTTAAAATGTATCATTTAAATAGCCTTTTTGGAACATTTAGCTTTTAGCCAGGCCTTTTCTTCTTTTAGCTTCTAGTTTACCTTTTGATACTTTTAGCTTAAATTTGACTGCTTTGGCTAACATTTTAGCTACATTTCACTTCCAAACTTTTGCTACTTATAGCTTCTAGTTAGCTTTTTTTATACTTAACATTAGCCTTTTTTAAACTATAAAGTTTTAGCTAAAGTTTTACTGCTTTTAGATGGTCGTTAGCTACTTTAGCCTTTAGCTAGTTTTAGTGCTACTGTTAGCTTCTAGCCAGGTCTTTGCTAATTTTGTTTCTAATTAATTTGCTTTCATACTTTTAGTTAGTCTTCTTGCTACAGTTAGCTTCAAATAGCTTTCTTTTCTACTTTCAGCTTGTATTGTTACTTTTAGTTAGCATTATGTTGTTTTTAACTTTCACATAGTGTATTGCTCCTTTTGGTTTTTAGCTTATGTTCTGCTCCTATTAGCTTGTAGTTAATGTTTTGCTACTTTTAGCTTGAGCAATTCTGTTTTAGCTTCTTCAACAAAATTCAGCAGTTATTTAGCATTCAGTGGGATTTTCTAGTTCATATTAGTTAAATTTTTATTTGCAAAATTAAGTCCAGCCACATGAAATCTGAATGTGAACCCTCTCTCTCTTGTCATCAGTTACATCAGCATTTCCCCATTAAATCTCAAAAAGCAGTTTGAAATCATTTAATGTAAATAAATAAATAAAAGTAAAATCCCTGACAATGTGACATCCTTAGGTGTTTTAATTTCAGAACAGAAAACAAGTACAAATCTCCAGAGATGTGCAAGTACTGTATAACGACATATTTGGGAAATTGATTTTTAGTTGATTGGAAGCAGCTGTGGCTTTAAAAGAGAGATAAATAAGTTTCTGCCATTGGTGTTTTGAGGAGAGAAAATGTTTGATCTGGATGGTATTTGTTCACACGTGAACCATTCATACCAGATATAAGGAGAGGGTTGTGATAATGGACTTCCAGACGAAGGAACCTTGAAGATCCAGGTCCCCCTATAGCCAGTCCAGCATCAGGGGGGTAGTAAAAAGCCTGCAAGTGCACACACATTCATGCAAACATGCAAGATTCATGAGGAAAAAGACACAGGATTCAGTTTAATATATGCACAATCGACAGTTTGCTGTCAGTTTTGGGGTAATATCAATTTTCTACAATTCACAGTGAAAGGAGACTTTCATCTATAAATCAAACTATGAGGTTTCAAAGAAAAAGAGCAAACACTTAAAAATGCAAATCCTTCTCAAACATGCAGATGTTCAATAACAGCAACCTTTCATATTCCCTTTTCAGTATTGTGTCAGAGCTATAGCTTTAATTCATATACATTTTAAAGCATTTCAGATGTGTATCATGCTTTTTTTTTTTTTGCCTTATGCCACAGAACATAAAGCAACACTACAAGAAGGTGATGATCGGAGGCAAGAATAATTCCAACCTAAACAGCCTTCACAGCTCGCAGAAGGCATCCTGCTTGTTTTTGTTTAGCTGGCAGATAATCCAGTCGGAGAGAGGCCAGGCTTACTTGTGATACAGCAGGAAGCCGTGTGGAGAGATACGGTGACAGCTTCACCGCTCACTGGCCTCTTGCTTGTTTTGGCTCGCAGCCTCAGCCACCATTTTGTCACTCATTGGTCTATGAAGTACCTTTCTGAAGTTACAGCTTTTGGTGTTTCTATTTGATTTTAGAGCCAGAAAGATGGTAAAATAAAGAAGTTTTGCAAGAAACCATGTTAACATGTTAACTACAGCATTCACGTCACTCACAGAGCAGGCTACATATCTAATGTAGCAGATCTTGAATTGTGAGCGAGTTTATTTTATTTTTTAAGGAATGCACATTGCTCAACAACTTCCATGCCAAAGTTTTAAAGCAAAATCTTTCATTATCTGTTAGCAATCAAAGTGATGGAGATGACTCTCTGTAGCTCAGTATCCGTAAAACTGAACATGTTACAGTCATTTCTGTGGTTGCTAAGGTCGTTGTGGCAGCCATCTTAAATTGAAATGAGTGCAGAAACTCAGCTGCCGCTGATATAATTTTGTGGAATGATGTAAAGCTGCAGGAGAAAAACATATTTTCCTGCTTAAAATCTTATGATGGAGCAAATAAGAGTAATTTGGGAATATTTGAAAATGACTAACATATCAAAATATTGTCTGTCCAAAAGGCAAGAATAGAGATGGAAAACACGAGATCATGAAAACATTAAAACCTGCAGGTCAGTGAGTGATGTTGGAATGGGTGCGCTCGTTTTAAACCACAATCTTTTGGTTTTATTCTCCATAGAGTTGCAGTTTTTGTCCACGTTCTTAACAAACTGGAGTCTAAATTGGATCGGTCTAGTTAACGTTTAAATTAGTTTTCTGCAAGGTTTGCGCTACTTTAATTAGAAGACTTGAAACACTTATTAAATTAAGGTAACAACATTGTAATTAGTGGAATTTGTTTCTGAGAGCAGAACTTCTAAATGTGTTTTATCCACTAAAGGTGTTGCAAAATATCAGCTGAAAATCCTAAAAAAAAAAACAATAGAAAAAGTAGATTAGGTGACCTTCAAGCAACCATTGTGCGTCTTGTATAGAACAACTTGTTCAGTATTTTCTCCGTGCAAATGTTTGCTTACATTTGTGAGTATACTTGTTTTTTTTTATGTAAGCCTATTTATAAATATTTGTGTGCATCCCACGTACAGACTGTCTGTTAATAGACGTGCTGCGTGGTGGGATCATCTTTACAAATTTTAAAGCTTGCAGTTCCACGCTCGGTTTTACTTATGTGGGAGCTTTTGTTTATATCTCTTAATAAGTGCAAGGTCTGGAGCAAAATCAAGCTTCATGCCAGTGCTCTCTTTCAATTAGGTCCATGCTATTTTTATCAAAACACTTGACTCTTCCTGTTTGATCTGCTTCATCTTGTGATGTGGGGGCTCTTTTTTTTTTTTCTGTTGCAAATGATTTGCATTTCGAGTAAAATGATTTGGCAACACTTCTCTGCTTGCTCTCGATGAGGACGGACGCATTGCCTCTTGCGCCTGCCCTCCCTCCTGCTTTGCTCTTTGTCCTGTGATTCATATTAGAGCCTCTCACTACATATCCTCCCAACTGTAAATTATGGATCTGGTCAGCTGGTCTCTCAACGCAATTGATAAAAATGTTCTCGCTGAGAAGACTGGGTACAGGAGAGCCCTCATGCCCTGAAGGGACACTTGCAGCCGAATATACTATGGATCTTGGGGACAGTGGAAGCTGGTGTCTGTCTGTAGTGTCCACTGAGGATGTTGAAGACGCATACATAGTTGAATTTATTATAAGATTTCTGCTTTTTGGAGTCGGCGGTTACCTGGTTTATCGACAAATACGGAAAATGTCGGCAGCTGTTCTGGGCTTGGTAAAGTTGCCTGGCTTGTATGAAGGAATGTACCGAGCGGTAGAGTTGTCATTTCTAACCCAGAGCCTGGCCCCGCCCGACCTGGATTCAGACCAGGCCGGGCCATAATAATGTGCTTAATGTGTGGGCCGGGTCAGTGTCTGGCTTTTTATTGCGTCAGGAACATGTGCGGCTGACAATCCAATATATGCAAACATGGCTTGTCATACTGTACCTGCCACACATGGCCATTTGACCGTGCACTGACCAGCTGGTTGAAAGAGGTAAAAAGTTCAGTTAAGATTCAGATGGACTACTGCCAGCGATCCATCAGCCCAAATGGACGTTCATTCAGCTGCGGCACTCGGAGGACGCGCGCATCTGAGACCCAAACAGGTGAGATCACAAAATATCTGACATGTCAGAGCAGGGTCCAATGCAGGCAGAATCAGGGGAAGCATTTAATGCACTGACTGTTCTTCAACTCTGATCTTCTGCCCCCTCATCCGCACGCATCCGCCAACCGTTAATAACAGTCGGTGGTATAAACAGTCGAAGCTTAATTAAAAATGTTGGGGGGGGGGGTGTCTTGGTTCGGACCTGTAATTACTGTTAATTCGTTGGATTGGGTGAGGTTCAGAGATGACGGCTACGGGGTGGGAATTTCGGATTATTTGGACTCGAGTGCAACTCTACCGAGTGATAAGCTCTGATGCTGTATGAGCTGAGCAGTAAGCTGGACATGATTCCTGAGAATCGCTGACCACTTTGCGGCTCCTGGGACTCACTGGCGCAATCGACCTTGGTGAAGGCTACGAGCTTAGTCCGGCGGTTTGATCACAAAATTTGGCAGTTTGGAATTGCCACTGAGACGTACCAGCAGAACTATGAAGGCAGACATGGAAATCAAGCAGTCTGCCTGACCCAAAATAACTGTTATTTGAATTTGGCTTTCCCACCCGGTCTTGATTTGACCAACTATCTCGAACTTCTCCTGGTTGTTCATGTGAATGAGAAGCTCTTCCACCCCCTCCCCAACGCTCCCCTCCTGAGGACATCTGTGGATCTGTGTCAGAGTTGAGCCGGCTAATAGACACTGTGCCATCTTATTAGGACTATGGAATTTTCTGGCATTCCACGGACAACTCACTGCCCTCGTCGGCCTCCTCCTCATGCATAAATGTATTATGATGTCATTATGTCTGCTGTTTATGTGTGAGTTCTTTTTCCCCCCCCCCCCAACTTTCACTGTGCCCAAGCCAAGACATGGTGCGAGATACATTTTTTTTTACCTCCCCTCCCCCTTATGTTTTCTCTTTTCCTTACTTTTGTCTGTGTAAAACAGGTTTCTCTTGTAAATGAGTCTCCGAGGCTCAATGTGATTAATCTATATAAATAAAGGTTGAATGAATTAACAAACATAAATCTGGGTTGCCATGAGATGGAAGGTTTTCATACCTCTGCACCCATAGCCCATGCAGCCAGCACGTGACGGCAGAAGTTGAGCTTCTTCGGCTTCATCTTGTCATCACAGGAGCCACTGTACTCTGGCACGTCTCGCATCTCTGGTGAACATTCGAACACTTCGATGTGGTGCACAATGGCCTCGTTGCCTGCAGTTATCACAGACTCGTACTGACAGAAACAGAGAGAGAAAATGGTGGAAAACTCAAACGATTGAGAACCCCTGCTCGAGTCTACTTTCTAACCAGCAGATTGTCATCATTGATTCTTTTACCATGATGATGTGGTTCTTGGGGATATTTTCAGGCAGCTTGTGGATGAAGCACCAGTAGGTTGTTTCTTGGTTTGGTATGGTGATGTTTGGTGCCAAGACGTCTAAGGGCTGAACATCTGGAGGCAGAGTGGGTGATGGTGTGTCGGGACGCAGCATCAATACTCTCTGCACCCCTGTGTGGATCCTGGACAGGTCCAGGTCTTCAAGAGAGGTGATTGGTTGATCCAGCAACCCGTAGATGATGTGCACGGTTCCTTCCTGATGGATCAGAAAAGAAAGAGGAATTTAATAACATTGTGCAAAAAGAAATGCTAGCAGAAGCATTTCAAAATAAAAACCTTTCAAAGTGAGAATTTTTGCACATATATATTTTTTTTTTAACAGCCAACAAAGATGATTGTTGGCGTTGTTGTAGTAACAGGTTTTAGTTGCTGCAACCCAGAGGTTATATTCAGTTTGATGGCCTCAGGAATCGATCTCTGCTATTTGCAGATGATGTGATCCTGTTGGTGGCATCATGCCGTGATCTCCAGCTGTCAATGGCGCAGCTTACAGCCGTGTGTGAAGCAGCTGAGATGAGGATCAGAGGTCATGGTCCTCAGTTGGCAATAGGTGGACTGTCCTCTTGGGGTTGGGCGTGAGGCTCTGCCTTAAGTGGAGAAGTTCAAGTACTTTGGGTTTTTGTCAATGAGTGAGGGAAGAATGAGACGTGAGGTCAACATACAGATCGGTGCAACTTCTGCAGTATTGCATACCCCGTGCCGGTCCATTATAGTGAAGAAGGAGCTGAGCTGCAAGGTCCTACCCTTGTCTGTGGTTACAAAATCTGGATAGTGACCAAAAGAATGACGTCGCAGATATAAGTGGTCAAAATTGTTTTTCTCTGTAGGGTAGATGCTTTCCCTTAGAGATAGGGTGAGAAGTTCAGTTATCCAGGAGAGACTCGGAGGAAAACCGCTGCTCCTCCACATCACAAGAGGAGACAGTTGAGGTGGTTCGGGCACCTGGTAAGGATGTCTGCTGTAAAACATGCTGTCAATGATTTAGTGTAAAATATTGATAGTTTCTGGACAATTGTATTTAATTTATGACACAGAACTCAAACGCTCCATGAAATAATAACTTTTCTCACCTCTATGAGGTAATCTTTGGGATCGCATGTACTAAATGGTCTTTTGAAGAGCAGGTAAAACCCATCAGCTTTCTGTTTGGCCTCGATCAGCTCGTAGTCTTGTTGGCTGTCCAGCGAAACATGACCCTCGCTGTCACTCCACGCATCCTGAAGGAGACGGCACAAACGATAGCAATAGGAGACAGAAATTTATAAGGATTTCAAATATATTCCCTTCAATTCTGAATAAAGCTGATTTTTTTTTTTTTAAATGTAGGCTTTGTAAAACCCCAGGTATTTTTTACTAAGTGCTGAGGGAGAAAAAAAGTCTCCATTGTCAGTTTTTAAACCCACACAACTCCAACTGCAGTGAGCTGTTTGACAGAGATTCATGATGCACGTTAGAGAGAGAATTAAGTAAAAACTGAGGCAGCTGGTGTTGTGAAACCTTCCAAACCTGGTGTACAAGATGTTCTTCTTCTCTGCCAGAAGGCTTTGTACCAGCTCGGCCTCGCCATCTCGGCTCTTTTTCACATCCCTACCTGTCCAGAATAACATCTAAAAGCTTTCTCTTTGTTTCCCATTTTAGTCTTGCATAACAGTACCACACAAACTGCACAGATTTGAAGCCATTGATTTTTAAACTACGTACAGTGTGTGCAAATCCAATAAAACATGTGGTCAATATTCTGTCCAATGTGTGTTAAGAAAAAAGCAGTCTTTGACTTGTAAGGCCTGCTGAGGGATAAAAACCTAACTCTTTTGAAAATTATCCACCTTAGCTCTATTGTTATGTAATACTTGAGCTTATAATATATTTGAGCTAGTAATACAAAAGTAGTTTCAAAAGATTTAACATGAATTTGAACTCTGTCCTTCAAATATAGAGGCCTAAAACAAGTTAATAGTTTTGAGTTGATGACTTCACAAAAGAGACAATATACGCTCATAATTATGATTATGAATAAGTGAAATTATTTTGTGGTCAGAAATCAGAATAAGCTTTATTATCAATTTATAGGGATACAATGAAATTATGTTCGTACAGTCATCCGAAAGATGGGCAGAGTTCACGTTGCTGCTGCTATAATAGTGCGGCCCCTTATTCTTTGTCAGAACACTTTTAGATAGAAAAAGGGGAAGAACCTTCAGGATAGATAGTGGTATTACAAAAAAGATCTCTTCACATTTTGTCCTATCAGGACTAGGGATGGGGCCGATCCGATCCAGTATCTGTATCGGCCTCCGATACCAGCATAATTTACGTATCGGATTTTCTGATCCACCTGCCGATATTTCCGATCCATGCATGTCTGTGGTTGCGCTGCAAGTTGGCTTCAAACTATGGAATGGATTTCCTGAACGGAGGCGTGTCTCATGAACCCAGAGTAATAAGACCCGCCTCACATTCAGGAAATCCAGTTCATAGTTTGCAGCCAGCTACAACGTGAGGACTGAGTTAGCAGCACTGTGGCTAACTGCTAACCTACTTTTCATCTAGACATGTCCGCTGTGTGGAAGTATTTTACACTAAAAACACCACAAAACAAGACAGCAATGTGCAATGGCTGCAGAGTTACAGCACCACATTAAACCGCGGTAAAATTAGTTTTACGATGGACATTCGAGCTCCGTGGCTTCAGCGGGGCGCTGCTCTTTGCTCAACCCAAAACAAGCGACTCGACCCCGGTCAGCCCCGTCCAATCTGCCCCGCTCAGTCTGCCTGTCTCCGAGGAGGGACAAACTGAGCGCGGCTGCCCCAAATCAGGCTGCCTGCTTCGGATTGAACAAGAAGAAGACATCGCTGAAGCCAAGGAGCTCAAATGTTTACAGAGAAGTTGCTAAACTTCATAATTAATGACCAACCACTATCAGTTGTAGGAAACGAAGGATTTCACAGCTTGATACTTGCAGCCAAGATATAGTTTACCCTCCAGGAGATATTTATCAGTACAACAGTAGACAATCATAAAAAAACATATGATTTGAAAATTATATTATAAACAAAAACAGCTACATTATAAAGTGATGTAAAATACTAAAAACAGGAACATGTCTGTTGGTTTATGCCATGAACTTAGCAGGTGTTTGAAGCCATTTAACATTTAATTTAATTTAATTCATTTATTCATTCATTTAAAAGAAACAAACAAACAAAAAATCAAAAAGAAAACATTGAATGAAAAGAGTGCAGAAAGAAGAAAAAAAATTATTATATCTATCTGCCCCTTATTTAAAAAATATAAAATAACTTTAAACAATCACTTAATCACTTTAATATCCACTTTAAAGCTAGGAATAAAAAGAAACATGTTTTGTGTTAGCAGGATTTAATTCTAACTTTAAAACTTATCCAACATTAATAAAACTTACCTCAAGTTGCCTTTTTGGACATGCATGCATATATTTGTACAAATTGTACTTGAGAGCAGATTATTACGGCCTCATATAAAATCAATGATGAGCATGATATCAGAACTGGATCGGTATCGGCCGATACTCAGACTTGGGTATTGGGATCGGATCGGAAGTAAAAAAAAAAGTGGATTGGTGCATCCCTAATCAGGACACAATTTGAGGCATCAAAAACTACCTGCAAGTGCATTTATAAACATGATTACATATGCATTTGATGTCAAGACATTGAGATTTGTCCATGAACACTTTCAGACTGGCCACAGTCCTAAAGTGTTGCTCAGCCAGCAGTTCTGATAAGCCTGCACAGAAGTTCTCAGAGGGGGGGTTGCAATAGACGAAGCTTTGTCCCATGTCCTAGGAGAAATTTGATAGTCTGCTCGTATCCGAGGCCAAACAGGGGAGTCAGATTCAGATAAGCTACGATTGTTGATTTTCTTCAGGCAGACCGTTTTTACTTTGTCAGCCTAGAGTCCTGCTGGAAACTTTCCCGGTCCAAAATTGCCAGATTTATGGGTAATCCAATGCACTGATTTGTGTTATGAGCCTTCCTCGAGGTTGATCCTAACATGCTGGCGAGTCCTAGAAGTCGCAGGTGACCTGTGATTTTCACAAATTGCCTCCATCTTAAGGTTTAGCTCATAAATCAGCTGATTTTGAGTCCTCATACCACAAACCAAACCATCACACAGACTCAGAAGCTTTGCATAGTCAAAACTGCTGCCGATGTTTTCTTCAAAAGTTGATTAAAAACAGCCCCGCCGATGCCAAAGAGCAGAAACCCTGCTATCATAAATCCAAATATATAAATGTCTTCAGCATCCTCCTGAGACAGAATTGAGAGACACATCAGCTGCCAAACTCCCCACAGATCTTTCTTGTACCCCGCAGCGTGATTCTCAGCCAGACAAGAGGGTTCTCCAGGACACTGTCATTTTGTTGAAAAGATTTTGTCGATTGCGTTGAAAGTCCAGCTCACCAGATCCATAATAATATTTTTTATTCAGAGGTGTGTACCAGGAGCTCCAGACACACAGAGAGCAAAAGCAGAAGAGGAGAACTGGGGAGGGAGAGTTCATCTTGAGCGAGAGCCAGAGCAGAAATCTGGTATTATTTTGCTGAAGAGGTGCTGTAGGGAAACGCAACGCTGATTTTAGGTTTTAATAGAAATCAAACTGTGATCTCTTGTCTATTTTTGACAATTGCAGTAATTTTTTGCTCTTTAGCTGCTGAGTTATCTAATAAGTTCACAAGATTTTCACGGACCATCTTTATATGTTGGGGCTGAGTGGACTTTTATAAGAAAACCCATTGTTTGCATCTAAAAAAAAAACAAACATTTTTAGCATTTAAAACCATCAAAATTACTGATCAAGAAACTATGAAATTAGCAAAAATTCATAGTAAAGTTGTTTTGCAAAAGCTCATTTTAAAATTGTCATTTGATGCACGTTGACTGTTTTATGTTTCATCATTTGTCTTTCAAAAATGGAAAATCTGTCTAACGCTAACAAACGAACAGCAGTTAAAGTCTCATAGCCTTTAATACAAAATGTCTATTCAACTGGGGCATATAAGAAGTGTGTGTGTGGAGGGGTAGGGGGTGTTTGTGTGTGTTTGTGTCTGACTGCAGCACAGCAGTGACCTTTTATCTGCTGGTAAATTTGTCCTCTTGAGGAAAGAAAAATGGACGACAGACAGAAGAACGCCAGACTGGAAGCGATCAATTTACCAGGAAAAGATTTCACATCAGTTTGTCGTACATGATGTGGCTCGTTTTTAACCTGAGATGGAGCTGTGGACTAATTTTCAGGAAAATGCTTCTTTTTTTTAATTGTTTGGAAAACAAACATTATATTAAAGCACAAGTCATTCTGAGGGTCACAGCTTACATTAGTAACAGCATTCTGAACTGTTGCGATGCTAAAATTCATTAAACTTGTTTGTCAGAATATGTAATTTTGTTTATAACTGGACAGTTGATGTGGCAGCCATCTTGTATTGAGTTAAGGTTTATTAAAATCAGTGCACCCCAATGGATAGATTTGAATAAACTCTCATAATCCTTCACCGCACATCTAAAACTCATTATTTGGTGTCAACCCAATTCAAGATGGCTGCCACATCAATCAACCGGATGACTTAACTCTTAATGATAATGAACTGTGGTAGTAGTTAGCAGTGATGCCCGACACATACTTTGAGCACTAATCAGCTGTGTTTAAAACTTTGGTAATGATGGGCATGCATTCAAGGAACGATGGTCTCTATTTAAAAAAAAAAAAAAAGGTTTTCATCTTTCAGGATTTAAAACTGAGGATCAAATTAGGTACATGGTTTTTTATCTAAGAATATTTAATTATTCGGAAATTGGGATTAAAACCTGCAAGTTTCTGATTAAGTAAAGCCATTCTAACTCAAAAATTGCAGCCGCCTGATAAAATTAACTCCAGCGTTTCTAGTTATTTGACTAAAAGTTGGTACATAAAGGAAGTAAGAGCCAAAAAAAAAAAAAAAAAAAGATTTCATGATCGTCTTTTTATGGTGGTGGGCAATAATTAAAATAATCTCTGTATGGATGGGGTCCATTTTTATACTCTGCAACTGAAACAGTATAAGTAGAAAATGTTTTTTCTAAAACTCCAAATAAAAGACATTCAATTATTTCTTCTGTAGGTTTTTCTCAAATATATCTAACTGGAATATAGAAATAGTGGATAGAAATCAAAACTGTTGCAAAAAAAAATACTTTTTGGAGATAATTTCGGAGAGAAACCTTTTTAACGTCAGATTTCTTTTAAAGTCTTGTGTGTGGCAAACGGAAAATGATGCAATTTACTCAACTCAATTAGCGCAGGCTTTGCAAATATCTGCTAATGATTCCCAGTAGAGCCTCAGCTATTAGCGCAGTTTGACTGATTTCCAATTAGCAATCCCGATAAGCATCTTTCCTGACTCTGTGATCATGGAGCAAAAACCGTCCCTAGGCTGCTTGTGCCAAAATCCAACACTTCAACGATCACAGACAGACAAAATGTTGGGGACGCCCCACTCCTTTAAACGTTTAAAAAACTCCTTGAGCTTATATGATTTAGAAAAGCAGAATAAACAGTTTTACAGCTGCTCTTTGGAAAATTAGACGATATTCTCTCTTTCTTTTGGTCTTGAATGTTTTAGGACCTTAAGCTTGCCTACCCCAAAGTAGCTCTTTGTTCCCGAGTCCCACAGCACGACCAGGTCAGCGTTGGTCAGCTCCCCGCGGTCCGACATCCCCAGTACAACGCCATGCCTGAGCTCCGCAATCTTCAGCTGAATGTAAACCTCCTGATGGGCATAGCTGACGTTCCAGGCCAGCTGGAGCTCCCCGCGAGGGTCAAGGGGCATTCGGAAAGGCATAGGGAGAGGCGGCAGAGGGATGGAGGGACTGGATTTAAGGCTGGACACATCAACAGCATGGGAGGGCGCCTGGTACGAAGCCACCAAGATGACCGTCAGAGCAGCCAGGGCAGTGAAATACATGATGGTGATGTCCTGAAGGCGGAGGTCTTTCTTGAAGATCCTCATGGTGAAAGTTAGCAAAGATGCTGGAGTTGTTTAATTCTTTTTATCACGGCTTTGGTTCACCTTTAGGCCACAGTCGACTCCATTGTAGCGCTCAAGTGAAGGACTGTATTTCTATCCTGTCAGGCTCTCATTTTTTGGAAAAGTATGACCGTCCCGTTGGCATCATCACTACTTTATCTTGTGTAGAGTACTAATGGGTGTCGCCTCTTTCCTCTGTACAGCTGCTAAGTCTCTCCGACTCTCATCCACCTCTCCGGTTTTTAAAAGACTCCTCCCTTGTGAGTTGCCGGTTTTTATCCTGCCTAATGGTATTAAATTTGTTGTGGGAAAATTGGATTGTATTCTTTGAGCCCTGGGGGTCAGCAATGATTCAGCACATCTGCCAGATCCTAATTGATCCAAATCCAAGCCATGGACATTATCAACGACAATCTGCTATTTAACTTTATTACGGTGTCTTCTCCCTTTTGTTTGGGCAAATATGGTTTTTGTTTACATTTAAAATGCATGTTACACCTGTGTTGGGATTGTTTTTATTATTTAATAAAGATTTATGAGGCAGTGAGCATCAGAGAAGGTGTAAACAAGGCATTAAGGCTCTCCTTAAGCCAAGGCCTCAGGCAGCAGAAGACCTAATCAAACTGTCAATTACAGGTTTCAGAAGTCAAAGTGACCTGCTTTAAAAGGTTAGTAAAGTCCCGCTGGAAAAGTCTGTTTCTGTTTGATGAAAAACAAGTGAGCTGCTCTAAACAAATGGATCCGAGTGAATCACAAAATGTTCTTTGCTCCGTCTACACCACAATCAGGACCAGAAATCAAATTAAAATCATGTGAATTACAGTTTGTTGTAGTTCTATACACTGTGTGTACCAAGCTCTGAGGTTTTTGTTGAATCCAGGGTGCAGACAGACCCAGAGGAACTTGAGGGGTGAAAATAAAGCAAACTTTTTTTTTTTTTATTAATAAAAACTCAAAACAAAAGCTGACGAGGCAGCAAAACTTACAAAACCAATATTGTGTGAAGACACGAAGGAAACAGAGCATGATGGCAGGAAAACACAATCCACGGACAAGGGAAAAAACAGAATGAGATTATTTAAAGACTAAGCTAACGAGCGGGAATGACAAACACCTGGGGAGGATAATCAGGAGCGGGTGAGAGTGGGAGGAGCGGGAGCTGGCAACAAGAGGAGAGAAACACTGGGGAAGCTGGAAACAGGAAAAACAGACCCGGAAAAATAAATAATAATAATCACAAGTAGACATAAACATCACAAAACACAGATTATGACAGTTTGTGCAGAAGATATTTATAAAATAAAGAGAGCAATATCTGAACAAATGAATCAAGCAATTATTAGTAATAATTATTATTTATTAATAATTCATTCATTCATTCAACCTTTATTTAGACAGATAAATCACATTGAGCCTGAATAATAATTATTAATAATATATTACACAATAAAAGCGGACTTACCATAGTGTATCTACGTGCCGACAGCTTTTGAATATCTTCAATCATTACCAGTTGTTCTCAAAAACTTCGGAAAATTATAAATTTCTGCAGGTTGCTGCTTTTACAGAAATAAAAACAGATTTTGGTTAGACTGAAACATATATATAAAAAATTTAAAAAAAAATAAAGAAATCAAGAAGCTAATAAAAGTAAATAAAAATCTTCACGACATTTGAGTTTTTTTTGTTTTTTTAAGTTCTGTGGATTTTTCTAGAGTCACAGTTTTAGTGTTTAAAATAGAACTTGATGGTTATTTGCAAACAGCAGCAGCTAGCTGTAGCGCTTCCTGTGCAGCTTGGCGCACTTCCTACAAAAATATTGTAACTAGTGTGAGAATAATGTAGGAAATCTAACAGAAATGTAAAGGTGTAAAAAATTCAGGTCTCTCTTGGAAATGAGTCCCGGAGGCTCAATGGGACTAACTTTTATAAATAAAGGTTGAATGAATGAGAAAAAAATGTGTAAAAAATGAATCACCATGAAATTTATGAAGTCGTTTAAATTAGGTAGTAAATTACTTGAGTTTTGGATAATCCATTACTTTATCTATCTGTCCAAAAATTATCTCTATTTATCCAAACTGAGACCGTTCAAAAAGCTATCTGCAACAGGTAAGATACTAATAGATCATAATTTTCTACAGACTCCCATTTAAAAACATCCAAACTAACACTTTAATGGAGGATTTGAGTGATGGGTTTGATCAGAGATCATGTCTGACAAGGTTGAGTCAGGTTCTTCATTGTTGAAATGTTTCATCTGTTGCACAAAAGACATTCAGAAGTGAAGTCTTGTGGACTTTGAAAAAGTCTTTTGGATAAAAGATGAATCATTTCAACAAAGAATCTGTCCAAAGGACCTAACTCAACCTCGTCAGATTTACCTGGATTATTGAGCATGCATCTGAACATTTGTCTAGTTCTTTAAGGTTCGTCCCCTCAATAAGTATGGTAAGGTATGGTATGGTATAAAGTTTATTCGTTTTAAAAAAGTACAAAACAATTCCATAACAATATAAAAAAGATACAAAAGATTTAAAATGAAAGGCAGCAGAAAGAAGAAAACATCTTAATATATCTGCCCCTTTTTTCAAACAATTATTTCAATCATAATAATTTTCAATTAATTTTCAAGTGATTTCCAGTTGAATAATACTTATTTTGCTGCTTAAATGTTGGTCATGTAGGTTATTTAACTGGGATTATCCAGTCTTTTCTCATCTTTTCTGTTAAAATAATTCAATATATGTCATGTTTTCACTAAAAAAACTGAAAGAAGCTGTGCATCAGAATTGTGGCAGTGTGACTGCCAACTCTGTATGTAATGGATGTAAGTATTTACAAGATCTCAAACCACTGAGGTTTTTCTTCCCGGAGAGGATCATACAGAGAGGGAGAGAAAGCTTTGGATCACAGCAGACAACAGGCCGGAGAACAGAAAGGCTGGCATTGTGTCGGTTAATGTAATAAAGACTCCCAGTCCCTGAGGCACAGACAGAGATCTGTGTGTTCTGTCTCCAGCTCTCACGTGAGCCTCACCGATTATCTCCCTACGTGCCTTTCAACGAGTGTTTGCCGCTTATCTTTTCCACACAACCACAGTTTTGCCTCGGTTTGTTTTTGTCCCATCGCACGTCTCTCCACCGAGGCTTCCTGCCTTCTCATCATCCCCTACGTGCACGCTTGTCTTTTCTGCCGTCACTACTGATGTGTCAGCACACACAAGAGCCGAGATGCTGTAAAGTCAGCTGTGATTTGGAGAGCGAGATGGTGGGGGATGGGTAGGGGATGGAGGACAGACAGGTTTAGGGGAAATAAAGCTCAGTGCAGGAACTCTTTACAATTAAAAAAAAATGTATTTTCCAGTTTTATCATTTAAGACTTTTGTGGGGTTTTTTTGGGGGGGGGGGGGGGTTCTGTGAAGGTAGAGTGGACCAACCTCTCCAATTGTGTTGACCCTGTGTGGTACAGAAAGAGAAAGGGAGCATAAAAGCATATTTAAAAAAAAAGCATTAAAGCAGTATTCACTTTTCATGACCAACCCAACCTTCTCATTCTCTGCTAATATAAATATTTCAACACCGCAGACTCTCAAAGTGCACTAATATCCACTTCTGTGAGTTTAAATAATGGATGCAATAAAAAAAAAACCTCACACAGCTAGCTGCCCTTAGCGTTGCCTCAAACTGCCCCTCGTCTGATCAGAGCGCGAGAGTCGAGCAGATGTAGGCTGGGTTGGATAATTAGAGGAGGAGACGAGTAAAGATTTACAAGAGAGAGGTGGAGAAGAAGGGGTGAAACAATTTGTAGTGAGAAGATGAAAGAGCAAGTGAGGAAATGGTCGTTGATGCCCACTCCTTATACTTTGTCCTGCTGAATGTCTGGACGTGTCTCTGGGACAGTTGTGTCCATCATCTTAATGGAGCTCGATGAAGGTCTTGTTCTAGACAAAAAGGGTCAAATTGTTCTAATTATTTGGCTAAACCTTGTACAGATGACAAGTTTAATGTTTTTTTTTTGTTTTGTTTTGTTTTGTAAATTATGAGCATGGGTTTGACTTTCCAAAGCGTACATCTTTGATGATTGATCCTTGTTAGATTGAAGCTTAAAGCAAAAGTTCAAACATTTCAAAGTGGAATTCAATGGGAATATTAACCCTAAGAAAATCTCATGGGGAAAAATAATCCAGTTTAATTTTTATCACTTATTTATTTAAATCGATTTGGTGACGTCAATAAACATCATTGTTCCTGATAAAACCTAAAAATCCTTCTGATTTCTTTTTATTCTGTCTGGATTATAGCAGCACGGTGGTGCAGTTGGGATAGCAGATGCCTCAGTGAAGGTCGCAAGATCGAATCCCAGCCAGGTTCCATTCTGAGTGGAGTTTGCATGTTCTCTCCATGCAATTGTGGGTTTTCTCTGGATTTTCTCCCACTGACCAAAAACATGCACGTTAGGCTGATTGGTAACTCTAAATTGTACCTAGATGTGAGTGAGAGAGTGAATGGTTGTCTCTGTGTCTCTGTGATGGACTTGAGACCTGCCCAGGGTGTCCCCCGACTTTTGCACAGTGGCTGCGGAATATGGGCACCAGTGACCCCATGACCCAGAAAGGAATAAGCGGGTAAAGATAATGGATGGATGGAAAATAATTTTCTGATCCTGTAATCATCATATAAAATAATGTTATTTGTATTTTTTTTTCCTATATTTCTACACTTTACTTGGTGATGCTTTGCTTTTTATGCTTGGGAGCCTCTGTAAAAATTTACCAGGACGGACTTCAACATCTTTCCCAGCTGGACATTGCTGTCAAGTCCTGCCTCTCATCCCTTCAGATAAAAATGTTTTAGTGTGGATGATAAGACCAAAAACACACGTGCATGTTGCATAAGTAAACATTTGGTACAAAATAATAATAATAATTGAAACAGCAACACTCCATGGCTCAGAACAGCTGACTCCTATTGACTTGACTGAAACCAGGACATCTGTATCGGATGCATCATGCCCCAGCAGCTGGTGGTATATCCTGATCAGTGAAAACAAAAAAATAAGCAGAAACTAATGTTTTGCACAGTACTGTTCAGAAAAATATATAACTTGCAATAACAATCAAAATTAAAAACGGTTAAAATCAAGAAGAACAAGGCCTCATTGTCAGCTACTGGATCTGGAGGGTCCTGCAGGATGGAGGGTCTTCCCAAAACCTCTGGACTGGAGTTTTTTTTTTATTTTTTTTTAGTTAAATAATCTTTTGGGGTGTGCTAATTATATAATATGTATTTTTTTTAGTTTTACTCCAAAATTTCCATGAATAAATATTTTGTTGACATGGGGAAAAAAAAACAATAATGTGGAGGGTTTTTTTTTTTTAGTTTAAAGGCCTTTAAAAACATTTTTTTTTTAATGTAAAAAAACTATATATTTTTATTTCAGGTTGAGATAGCTATTTTAAAAAGACAAGTTTATTGAGGAAAAATATACTTTTAAAAAGTTGTATTTATAAGCATTTACGTAAGGTGATCGATATATGGAACATGAACTGTCATGGACCTTAAGAACAATTAATATCTTACCTGCTGTAGACAGCTCTTTCAGAAAGATGTGGTCCTTGCACTGCAATATGGGCCAATTGGACCAATATACCTATTTCTATTTGTAATATAAAATAGACAGCTCTAAAAGTTTAATAAAATAGCAATCATATTAGGGTTTTGTATCTGCCGGTGGGAATATAATACATATTAATACACTCCCAATAATCCAATTCAATAAAAATATATCGGCAGCCATATGATGTGATATGATCCAGCTTTTCAATGCATTTTGATTTAACACACTCACATTCAATGCTCTATAAGACAGCAAAACAATGTACTGGTTCTAATTTAGTTATGGAGTCTAATTATTCACTAACTAATAAACGGGTCTTGTTTTAAAATTGTCAAAGACTTTCATAAAACACTCTTTTAGTAACTCAGCAGTAAGCTGCAAAAATTATTTTCTACGTTCAAAATAATAGAAAATAAGCAAAGTCCCGTTTTCCTGGAAAATTAGTTGATTAACATTAAGCACATTTAAAGAGTTTGTTGTTGTTGTTGTTGTTTACTCTGGTACAGCTGCAGTTCTCCTCCTTAACTCTAGGTGTTGCTACAGAGAAAACTGTCCCACCCAACAGCAGTCAACTTTTCATTCACCCATCATTTTTCATATTGTGGAGCACATGCAAAGAAACAAACCTGCTACTGTTTAATTAATAAACAAATCTGGTTTTATGTTTATATGGACAATCTACAACTGTGCATCTAAATATAATCCCAAAACTGCATTGTGCACATGCACGTCCATGACTTGGTGCAGCTTGGTTAATCCTCACATTCCCAGCTCACATACATTTTTAGAGACTGGAGATGTTTTTAAAACCACCAGAATTTCTTTGGACACGTTCCTTTGCAGAAATATGGTGAGTCTGTTTGAAAACAGGCTGCTCCACACAGAGAGCTGTGGTAGCTCGGTGGTCTGTGGTTGCATCAGGAAGAGCATCCAGAGTTAGTTCACTGTGGGGACCCCTGAGGAAGGGAGCAGCCGAAAGAAGAATATATATTTTACTAACAGAATAAGGAGTCTGAATGGCTTTAAAGCACTCTTGTAATCTGAATTTATGACCAAACACACACGCATTTTAAATCTTGACTGTGTCCTAATGCTCCATGTCCCTTTTTTTTCCCTCACTTTAGATTTAAAGCGCATCTCTTTTCTCTTTATTTATTAAAATGTTTGTCTCCAAACGACGTCATTCTGCAAGAATCGGTGATTAATCGCTCTAAAAGCGGACCCGTCGCTCTTCACGACCGCTCTGCCTGCTTTTCGACAGCTCACATGCAGCGAGATGCGCGCGAGGAGGTGATGCTCGGATAGAGGCACGAGGAAGGGAACGAGGAAGCAGAGGAGGAAGAGGCAGAATCTGGAGCAGCAGGAACACCTCACAGGACGGTGGTGGAAAGTGGTCGTTTGTGGTGGGGGGGAAAGAAAGATCTCCCCCCACCCGCCCTTCTCCAGCACACATGTTGCCGAGGCGCCGCTGATCAGCAGGATGTTTGCGTAGGAGGCTGTGATTTCTTTGCGGACAGCGCCAGTTCTTCAGTGTTGACTCCACGGACCTGTGCTTCTTCCACGCCAGTCTTTTGGAGTCACGTTTGGAGTATTGTTTCCGATGGCTTTCCTGTTTTATTTTTTATCTTGTTTCGCATGCAAGTATCAGGAGTGAATGAGGAACGGAACAACAAGGTGGACATTTTGCATGTTATGTTTCTCATCTGACAACTAAAGAGGATCAGGCCCTGAGGGGTTTATCATTTTGCGCCCAGAGACACTTCAGCACTTAGTTCTTTACTTTTCCGACGTTTTTCACTCTAATATATACATATTTTAAAGCTTTTTTATATATAATTGAGTTTTAAGTGACTGATACCAGAGGGAACCTTTCGAGGAGTGACCGCTGCCCTAGATGTGACCCAGAGAAACCCCTCCTGTATCTGAAGGTAAACAGACAAAATCCTGTTTTTCACACATTTCAAACCTGCTCACATAGATAGATAGATAGATAGATAGATTGTTTCAGCACCAAATCAATACAGGCTTTAATTAAGTCATGACTAAAACCTTACAGAAACAGATGGGAAAGAGAGGATAGAAACGAAGGATGGGTTCAGCTCTTTCCACGAAACACTTGCCGCCTGGGTCGGTTTGCCACATGCTGACAAAACAGCATGGCTCGTGAGCCAGAACTTCTGTCACCAACTGTTCGCCACGGTCACATCCAAACTGTTGGCTCAAGATATTTTTAGGCAGGATGGAAATGTGTCTGAAGCAGCAGTAATGTTTTGCACGGTTTATACATGCCACTAAATTGTGCTTTAAGTTGCAGATTTTATTTATTTATTTTTTTAGATGGGCGCACAGGATGCAACCCACTGAGTGTTTTGGAAACAACTGTGCTGGGGTGAGGTCATAACTTGCCAGTTGAAATGTCAGCCCTCAAAGAAATTATTTATTTAAAGGCTGACTTGCATTTTGTAAAGTATTTAGATTTTTTTGTAATAAAATAGAAAGTTTGCCATTTTTAGAATCAAACAAACTGGACTTTGCAGCAGAAAATGTGTTTGTGATACTTTTGTCTTTGCCTTATGGGGATAGTAAATAGAAAATAATTCAGTGTTACGGCATATTTCCTGACAGACAAAACTTATTTGTTTAAAAAAACGTCTTTGTTCTTGATAAGTTAGCATTTTAGATCCAGAGCAGTCTATGCTACTTGGTTACACACATTTAAAATATTATAATTGTGCTGAATGTAATACTGTGTTAGTGCATCATCATAACTGGATTTTTTATATATTTAAAACATTTTTTCAAATATGAGTGCACTTCAGTTTGGCTGTTAATTACATTTCATTCTGGTGAAAAACTATTGTTTATGATGAGGACATAATTGAGAATTTGGACAAAATATAAGCAGATATGTGCATTTGGCTACAGCAACAAAACCCAAGGCGGGGCTTGTGTTCCCATGGCGACTTCCTCAATGACCCTCAGATCAACCTTGGCCCCATGGGAGATCAGTTACACACAAACACACACACACACACATACAGATAAACACACATGCTCCTTGGATAATGAATTAGAGAGTCTTTCTTGTCCACCCGCTGCTCAGTGCGTCTCAGCAGGTCAGAGCAAAGCAGGATGGGAGAAAAGACAAGCTGAAGGACAAATTGATGCAGAAGGGAGAAGCTCATTTCAGAGGCAGATGGGTGCAGGGAAAGATGTAGAAAAGCAGGAGGCAAGGTTTGGAGCGTGTTACAGGTGAATGCAGTCACAAGCATTTTATTAATTTAATGGGTATTTTAGGTGGTTTTGTTATTTTCTTTAATAATCCGCTGGGTATCATGTGCTTTTTGTTCTGACGTGGAGAGTGGATGGATGGATTGAAGCTGAGGGGGAAGGGAACATGGCTGCACAATGATCATGTTAAACAGTCGCCTGCTCCTCCCTTCCTCCACCCGTTTCTAGTCTCCTCCCCCTCGGCAACAGGCTCTTCCCCACAACCCCTCCTCACGGCTACACCCTGACATTGCTCATGCTCAGACCCTCAGACTGACCAGCAACCGAGCACGAGTTCAGCTGGTTTCATCTCACTGAGTGACCATTAAAACAAGAAGATAATTAAAAAGAAAGGGAGGCAAAATAAAACCTGCAGGTTTGTACAGATTCCTCCCAATTTATCATCACAGATTGGCTTTTTTGTTGTTCAAGTAAAAAAGAAATCATTTGGCTGCACTTACATTTTTATTTAAAATAAAATTTGATTTGGGAGAACCATTTTTAGATTAACTTCACAAATAGGTCCCCCCAAAAAATTTCAGATCAAGGTCTGGTTTTCTCATTTTTTGGCATTACCAAGGTGAAAAAGCACCAATAAGGACACTCAAAATAAACATAATTATAATGTTAAACGGCTGTCAAACAAAAGCTTTTTACTCTTTATTGTCTAAACATAAAAAAGTACAACAAAAAAAAGAGGGTTTTTTTTTTATCTCTTTGCCATTTCTCTCTTTGTGGACACATATGAGTCAAAGTGTTGTGATATATTACACTGTATGGTGCTCAGAATAAGTGAATATACAGCATTCATTTCAAAGAAGCCTAAAGGCACTCTCATTACTAATTTCATGGTCCAAAGCTTTTGTTTTTCCTCTCTGTGTTTCATGCATCAGAGCACGAGGTTTAGCTGTGTAAATCTAAAAAGTTGCAAATGTCAGTAAGCCTCCTTTCTTTTTCTTTTTCTTTTTCTTTTTTTTTTTTTTTTTTTTTTTGGAGAATGATGTAATGAAAAGAAAATGAAAGGAAATACATGTAGAGCTGATCTCTCTAAAACTTCCTCTCAGAACAAGTCTCGAGTTCCTTTTTTTACGCCTTATTTCTCGTTTTCTTTGTTCTGCTCGGCTGCAAAGAAAGTTTTTCTTTAGCAACAACAAAGTCCGTGCTCAATAATCCAGGTATACAATCCAACATTTTTCAGTCTGGTCATCTGGACCAAAGAGACCATCTTATCACAAGCAGAACTGGTTTGTTCCACTGTGGAGTAAGCTGTTTGGGGAAGAATCAGTTTTGTTGCGTGTTTCCTTGACTGATGAAGCCTTCCTGACTGAAGGTGAAATGTTTCAGCACAAAAAAAAGAAACTGTCCAGATGACCTGACTGAAAAATGTTGGGTTTTTCTTTAGCAGCTCAGCAGCTCAGAGATAGAGCGAGCTGAGGAAAGTTGGTTCAAATAAAACTACTTTTTAAAAGTGTAAACCGCCCACTCGCAAACAGGAATGGTAAAATGTCAGACTGTAATAGCTGTCGTCATAGTAACTAACGACCAGTTCGAAGTGCTGCTGCCTCCTGAGCGCTGACCATCCAAGGTAAAAACCAAGTAATCATCAGATTTGAGCCTTCGACACATTTCCTTTATCATATTCGCTTTTTTGCTTCCGCTTCTATTTTTTTCGCCTCATTCTTTACTCGATTTTTTCCAACGTTTTGTCTGGACTCTTGCTTTTAAAACGCCCAACTTGTTTCAAGTGCCTGGTTTTTGTTTTGTGTTTTCTGTGTTCAAATTACGCTACTTGTTCTTGCTGTTTTAACAGAGACCTTGAAATGTTTTAAATAACATGCACACACAATTCATTATATATATTAATAAATAATTATGGCCCAAAAATCTGAAGCTCTTTTTCCAACCTTTGTCATTTCCTCTCATGCAAACCAGTTGTTTTCAAAAGTTCTCAAAGCAGCACATGCTATTAGTTGATGAACGTCTTTTCTAATTCAAAAAGCGTTCAATACAAAAATACAAACAATACAAAGTATTTTCTAATATTGTTTTAGTGCGAGCTTATGGACAGAATGCACATGGAAAAAGGTTCAAAACTGAATTTGTAACTCAATACTTGTTTGTATTGTAAGTATTCAATAAATTATTTTATCCTTTGACCTATTTTTACATAAGAAGCAGATGAAACTAAAACTATATATGCAGTATAATAATAATATTTACTTAATAAAAACACAGAAACCTTATATGTGGACCCCAAAGAGTGCCATGCTTAAAATGTGTTTTTATGATATTGTGTTGAAAAAGTGAGTTATTAATCTCATGGCCTTGTAATAAAGGAGCATGTTTTGTTGTAAAATCATTTTTATTTTCTCATTATCATAAGAGATAAAAGGTTTTTACCAGATATATTTAAGCATATTGATCTATAGCAGAGCTTATTCTATTGTGATAACTAAACAACCATTTTGAAACAAGACATGTATAGCTTTCATCAGAGATAAGAAGTGCCGTGCCAGCAAGCTGAAAGTGTTGCATCAAAAACATTTTGATTATTGTTGCTCCAGGACAGAAACCTTCTATGGCCAAGAACACAATAGTCCAGGAACTTTTAAAAAATGCAGCGTGAATAAATAAATAAAGCGTGTGGTCACAAGTTGACAAGCTACAACTGCGACCTTTCATTGGTTATTCATATAAAACCCCAGATAGTTGTGAAAGGTTTCCATTAGAAACCTGTAAAACATATAAAAACATGAAAATGAGTAATTTTTAAAAAAAGGGTTACAAAGTTTTAGCCTTTCAGTGAAAAATGCATTTTTTAACTTTCTGGTATAAATCACGAGAGCATTTCCGATTGATGATTCTGGGTGAAACACAAGAAATGCTCATTTTTGCATCACAGTCTGCACAAAATAAAGGTCAAGGTTCTTTATTGTCATTCGCATCACGTGCTGGAATGAAATTGTGTGCACAGCCTCCCAGTTACATGGAACAAAAGTAAGAATTGTAAAATAATAACAGTAATAAGATCTAGGATATGAACTAAGAAGTACGCTAAACTAATAATACTCTAAACGCTAATAGTACAAAACAATATGCCGAACAACAGCAGCACAAACCTGATGCTCATTAACCTCCTGCCTGAGGGGAGTGGGGCAAAAAGTGTGTGTGCTGGGTGAGTGGGGTCCTTCATGATGCAGGTGGCCTTCTTCCTTCATAAATTTTGTTTCTTTGAGGCAAATTGTCATAACCTCAAGAAGACAAAAGTATGTTTCTCCAGATAATGAGATAAAACTAGTTTGGTTAGTGCAAGATAACAGAATAACTGTACAAATAAAGGTTAAATTAATTAGGTTAAAAAAATAATAAAGCTTTAAAATAAAGATTAGGGGCACGGCTATTCTACGCTTCCACATTTCTGACCTAAATGTATTTTTAAGTTCAGATGAAGTGGTATCTCTCCAAGGTTCATGCAGATTTCTGCTTTTTCAGTCTGCAGTTGGAGGACGGGTGCATTGTTGGTATCTTCATAATGTTGTTTAGCAGTTTTATATCAGATAGAGCTGTTTTCATTTATTTTATTCCACCTTGCTGCAGGTCAGCCAGTTCAGATTTGCACATTACCTCCCCTTTGCTCTACATACACACATATTACTGT